CCGAAGAGATGCCTGGAAGAAACTCTGATGGGTGGCCATGTTGGGGAGAATTTTACAGGATATGCTAATCGTTGGCAAAGTTAGAGCCAATTTTGCGGGCTGTGTAATGGTTGGGTTTGTGAGGGCCAACTTCAGAGGCGTTGCGAGGGGGGGGCGGACATATGTCCACGGGCGCCGACCTTAGGGGGGGGGGGCGCCAAATTGAAAGTTTGAGGGGGGTGGGGGTTCAAATGAAAAGTTCGAAAGTTTGTCCCCGGGCGCCGGGAAGGGTTGCTACGCCTCTGGCCAACTTTGCGGAGTGTGCAAATGGATGGCTAAGCTACGGACATTCTTGCGGGCTTTGTAATGGGCGGCCATATAAGGGCCATTCCCTCAATACAGAACACTATTACCTATACCTTGTATCCCTTATAAACTACCAGGATAATTTCCGTTGACGTGTTTACAAAACACAATCCCTTAATTCTTTACGAAACCTTCAGCACAGAGCGACCCTTTACACATGGACTAATGAGGAATGTTGTCTTACTTCTAAGCATTGAATTACTAGATATACATTTTTTTTTCAACAGAATAAAAATAACAAAAACATTTACAATTCTTACTTTGAGAAAATATTTACTATTAATTTAAACGAAATCAATTAAAAACGTGTATTGAAATCGTATATTATTCGGCTTAGAGCTATAAATAGACATTTAAGAGAGCTCGCAGTTGTACCAATGTATCTCTCCACCGTCCGAAATTGGGTCAAGGTCAGTAAAGATGGCCGCTCCGCGCCCTGAACGTTTACCTTCATTAATAACCTTCATTTGAATAACAATAGTACTTGCGACCTTTGAAAGGCAGCGATGAAAACCTACGAGGGCACTCGACGTGCAAGATCACACGACACTCGCTATTTGTCCAATCATTGATCAGCCTCCCCTCTTCCTCGGGACAAAAATAATTCCCTATATCGTCGTACTCTCGCTCCGAATGTTTTTTTTTTTATTGGTTCTATTTATAGCTCTCGCGAGCTAGCCAAATTCTGTTACTAATTTTATTCTTGAGTAGCGTTGACGAGATTAAAAATCGTCGTATCGAAAAGGTAGTGTAGAACATCGGAAAACAGATTTGCTGAAGTAGGGGATGCAACTGCAACACCGGTCTTGAGATAAAGACAGCTACAAAAATATACAGAGGCGTAAAAATAAACATCTACGCTGAGGGGGACCAATACGCGTTTCTAACAGAAGATACCCAAAATGGCTGCAAGTTATTTATATTTAGAAAAATGAATTCACAGAAATATTTTGGTGCGACTGGCCAATGTTTTACACAGTACCGGCAATATTGTGTCTTGAGACGTACAAAGTGCCGGAAATATTTTGGCGTGACCGGCAAATGTTTCACACAGTACCGGCAATATTGTGTCTTGAGACGTACAAAATGCCGGAAATATTTTGGCGTGACCGGCAAATGTTTCACACAGTACCGGCAATATTGTGTCTATAAATAAGTTGCCGAGGAACCAAATCCAGTTTGATGGGGGGGGGGGGGGGGGAAGACTAGGCCATGGAGCGGACGATCAATACAGGACTCGAAAGGGATGAGACACACCGCCATTGCTGCGGCTTCTATGAATGATGTCTCGCGTTTAGGGGTGGGGTGAGAGGGTTGGGGGTGAGGGTGAGGTAATAGGGTGGAGGAGTCGATGGGGTAAGGGAGAGGTTGCTCTGTGACTGTATCTGTTACGACGAAGGAATTGAGCATGACAAGGTCAACATTTTAGAAGTAAACTTAAAATTTCTGCTATTTGGTATGACACATGCCTTTTTAACTATTTTGAAAGACATCTGAAATTTAAACTTTTTCGCAACATATCTGACATTTCAAGAAATAAATTTAGGAAATACGCTTGTCATTACAACGTTTTGGTAACATCCCTGATATTTGTGTGGTGTAATTTGACACCTAACATTCTAACCGAGTTTTGATATTCCTGACAATTTAACACAATTTTGATATTCCTAAAAATGTAACCAAACTTTGATATTCCTGACAATTTAACCAAATTTTGACGACATTCCTGAAATTTACCCAAATTTTGAAATTCCTGTCAATTTAACAAAATTTCGATATTCCTGAAAATTTAACAAAAATTTACATTCAAAACAATTTAACCGAATCTTGACATTCCTGACATTTACCCGACAAATTCCCGACAATTTAACCAAGTTTTGATATTCCTAATAATTTAACCAAATTTCGATATTCCTGTACTTCTGGTTTCATGAAATGTTCACTAAGTGCCAATATTACTGACATTTTAACGAAATTTCAATAATCATGACAAAACGATCAATAGTTTTCACGTACTCAATAGTCCAATTTCTCTCTGTAATACAATAGTAATTTTAAAAATATCGTTTTTTGTTCAACATAAAGCGATCTACTTTCAATGCTATACGACACGAATCAAAGACTCCACAATTAATAATAAACGCCCCTTTCATTCAATTCCTTTGATTAAGTTAGTTTTAAAATAACAGTTAATACGCATTACCATGCCGTTCATTTGTCACCAAGTGCCAATAATTAAACGCCGAAGGCCTATAATTAAATTATGATTAATTTACAGCCTGGTAGAGATTCTAAAAGTATTAACAAAATCCCCCCTCCCCCCCCCCCCTGAAATCTGAAATAGCAAGATCTCTGCCAGACTGATCTCATCAGATACGAGAATATCGAACTTTTAAATCACTTGGGTTCGACATCAGGCCTGGTGGACTCATCAGCGGAGGTGAGGGGGGGGGTGTGAACCCAACCTTGTGACGCCATCGTCACCTCCCCCCTCATTAATGAATCTCACCAGAGGAGACCGCCGCATGAAACACCCGACCTAGTTACGCGACTCTTCAGGCGCCACCACCTGAAATGTTCTAATCTCTTAAATGTCAACCTCCATCGTCCCCCCCTCCCCACCACAATATTCCCTGATTTCTGCTCTTCGATACAACCCCGGGTTCAAAGGTTCAAATACTCTCCAAGACAACACGCTCCATCCAAACGATGCGTTCTGCGCATGCCCCGACCTGACGTGTGCTTGTCTGTCCACGCGAGGCAATGGCTCCCGTACACGAGTTGATGAATGAAGCCGTGTCAACCCGGGGGGTCAAAGTTCATGTTGTGGCTGACAAGACCGCGAAGGATGTGATGTCAATCGTTAATTTTAATCTCGCGTGCCATTAGGGTAAGGACCTAATTGTCCTGGTCCTGGTGCTAAGTGTCGACAATGGCATCAAACGGGTAATGGAGAGAAAAGATCTTTTTGTTTTTAAAGGAAGCAATGTTTACGTTTTGAGAGGCCGTGTTAAAAGCTTTAGGAGCAGTGTTTCTTCCAGACTTGTTTCTCCGGGGGGGGGGGGGGGCACTTAAAATTTTCGACGGTAGACTTTCTTCGGGGGGGGGGGGGCGGACACTGTTAAAAGTAAATATTTTCTATATAAATTATATAAATTTCATTTTGTTCGGGGGGGGGGGGGGGCGAATTAGGAGTTACGTTATAGAAAGGTTCAACAACATAAATGACGTCACAACACTTTAAAAAAATCAGTGGGGGTGGGGGATTTAGACTTTTGATCAAGCGTAGGGATTTGGTGGAGGGGATGGGAAGTTCACACTGTAAGGGTTGTGGGGGGGGGGGTCCAAAAGTTTCAGGCTTCTCTACTTTTGAGGCCCTAACCCCCAGGAGTAGGAATAATCATATTAACCGCCCCTACCCCCCAGTGAAGTTTAAGTCTAGACAAAAACAACAAAAAGTGACATAATTTCGGACAGTATTCTAACAAATTAAAAACAATTACAGGTACAGTGGGCTTTTCGTTTCAAGGTCTTCGTCAGTCTAGACAAAAAAGATAAGCCCCCGCACCCCACCCCCAAAACACCACACCCCCTATACTTATGTCCAGATGTCCAAGCGTCCATTGACACACGTCTTTTCATTTGGATATCGTGGCATTGAGAAAAGACGTGTTTTCATTGTCGAGCTAAGTCAAAATTAAGTTTGTTACTGTTTTTGTTTTGTCTTGTCTTTAAGACTAAGTTTAACGACATTGTTTACATACTGTAGTGATGACGAAGGCCTTGGGTCGAAACATCCATTGTAACTGTAAAGTTCCCTTTCAAACCTGAGGGTCTATCGGGCAAGTGAAGTAGAGTTCACCTTGTTCCTGTGACCTCGGCATATGAAGAGATAGTATGGTCAGCAATATGCCCAGCCGCCTTTACTTACCCTAACATGAGTTAGGTACCCATCGGAGGTGGGTGGGTGGACTCAACTGACTTGAACTCGAGACTTACAGGTTAGCAGTCCAGCTCTCTACCGCTAGACCACTCCGTCCCGTCTATTGTACCTGTAACTGTCTACATAATTTGTGAGGATGCGAACACTCCCCATTTTCTCTACCCTCTACAGTCGTTCACACGTCTTTTACACTGTCATTCAACTTAAAACAATTACACACGGGGTTAAAAAATCAACTCATAAACTCACAATCCTCTGCGTTGAAAACTTATCTATCCAACCTATCTTTCAAATGACCCACAACACCATGTAAACCCTAATGCAAACCACATTCGGGCTGAATCCTACTTTAAAAAATGATTTTTTGTAAACCCTAACCAACTCTCTATTTTTATCACTAATTATAATAACTTCTTAAAAAAAACAAAAAAAACGACAGATACAACGACAACTACACCCCTCTTAAGTTTAATTGAGAATAAATTATACATTTACATTCTTTATCAAGCTCACTCCTAGACACTTATAAATCATTTTGAAGGAATCGTTTTTAAATTTTATCTTTAGCGATAAAAAAAAAACTGTTCACGCTATTCGATACCAAAGTATCCGATTACCCGTGTATCGATCGATACCGCAGCAATCATCATTAGGATCTGCATTTTGAAATAAAATTTCTTTTTTTTTTGGTATGGTAAATACCCGGTTCCAGATGTTCTCAAACTTATGTCTTAGGTACATTCAGGGTAAGATTCAGGGGAACATTAAGGGTAACATTCAGGGTAAGATTCAGGGTAAGATTCAGGGGAACATTCAGGGTAACATTCAGGGTAAGATTCAGGATAAGATTCAGGGTAAGATTCAGGGTAAGATTCAGGGTAAGATTCAGGGGAACATTCAAGGGAACATTCAGGGCAACATTCAGGGGAACATTCAGGGGAACATTCAGGGTAAAAATCAAGATAAAATTCAGGGGAAGATTCAGGGGAAGATTCAGGGTAAGATTCAGGGGAACATTCCGGCTAAAAAACAAGATAAGATTCAGGGGAACATTCAGGGTAAAAATCAGGGGATTATTCAGGGTAACAATCAAGGTCAGATTCAGATGAACATTTAGGTTAATATCCGGGGTAAGATTCAGGGGAACATTCAGGGTAAAATTCAAGGGAACATTCTGGGTAAAATTAAGGGTAACATTCAGGGTAAACCAAAATATTTAAATGAAAACAGGATTAGTTCATCATTTTGGTATAGAGATTAGTACATATGATACATTTGTAACCAACAAGACTAGCATTAATTCGTCTATTCAGGAGATAAGCGTCTTAATTTGACAAAATACATGTATTTACTTGAGTTGAAGAGTATCATTCATCCTGTCAATATATCAAGTCATTTGGGATCGTATTAACAAGGTGGCTAATCACAGCGTTAAATGACAAGGGATAGTAGGAAGACTATGGTTATACTGTGTTGAATAGCATGGTAGATCATTAAACCGTTGTATCGTGTTATACAGGTTGGGATGGTGGATTAGATTATATTGTGTTATATGGGATGGTAGATATTTATAGTGTTATATCATCTTATATGGGTTGGGGTGGTAGGTTACCATTGGTTATATAGTGTTACATGGGGTGGTCGGTTATCATAATGTTATATTGTGTTATATCGTGTGTATGACATACTTAGGGTGGTAGATTATCACTACTTTATACTATCTTTTATGGGATGGGTATGGTGGTAGATATAACTTCAGCTACATATTAATTCAATTAAAATGTTTTCCGTTCGTTACACATGTAATGCAGAGGCGTAGCGAGGGGGGGGGGCGGGGGGTGCGGACCGCACCGGGTGACACCATTTAGGGGGTGACACCAAGGGAAAAAAATGGCAAAATATATAGAGAAAAACTTGAGGGGGGGGTGCAAATCGAAAATTTGAAAGTTTGTCCCCGGGAAGGGCCTCTGGGGGGTGACACCATTAAGTGCCGCACCGGGTGACACCCGACCTCGCTAAATAGATTTAAAAACATTCGTAGGCTCTAGTACCAGTAACACTATCCCTATGGTCGAGCCAGGTACTGGGCAGTGGGGTACGTGTTTACCTTGTGTTCAGTAGGGTGGAATATAAGCCTGGTGAGAACCGAAGGACAGAAGTGAATCGATACACGGTAATCTAACAGATATTCAAGCCAGTTGGTCGGAGTTTGCCGTGTTGAGGCCTGCCTGGCTAATGGGAGACACCTCCTGAGCCAGTGGTGTCTTTAAAGAAAAAAGCAAAGAAAAGAACCAGTCTTCTTCTTCTTCGTTCTTAATTATTAGTGTTGAAGGGGATCGAGATTTTTTTTTCGAATTTATCAACCATGAGCTTTTTGCCGACTCGACCACGCCTCCAACACAATTAAGTGTTACGTGTCAACTGGTTATGCGCCATTGAGGCCATTGACTCCGATTTCAGCCTGCTTTTCTTTTTGGATTTGCTTCCATAGCCTTTGTCCAACCAAGAACAAACTACAAGGCAGCAGTTGTTTAATTTTGGAGTTGTCTCTCCTAGAAGAGTGGCTGTCCCCAGCTAACGAGCCTCATCTGCCCGAAGGTTCGAACTCGAGACTTTTTCGGTTTAGCAACCATGAGCTTTACCGACTCGACCACGCCGACCCATAAAGAACCAGTGACTCTCTTTTAATACAAATTCTTTAGTCCTTTTGTAATTCAGCGTAGTGTAGGTGCGTGGTGTAGGTGCGTAGTGTAGGTGCGTGGAACCGGTTTTGTTATAAATGAATGGTTTGTAACGTTGTTTATAAAGATGAGATGGGTGCACTTTGTGATGGGTGCTATTTGTGATGTGTGCATTATGATGTTTTTATGATTGTATGCATTTTTGTGAAATGTGCATTGTGTTATGGGTGATATTTGTGATGGGTGCTTTTTGTGACGGGTGTTTTTTTTTTTGCAGGTAATATCTTTTGCGCTTTATTTCTTTGTAATTGTTACTGTTTGATAAGTACTTGGTAGTCAACATGAAAATACCAATTTTGAACAAGAACTAATTCTTTTTTTTTCTTTGTTTTCGTTCTTTTTTTTTCGCCTCAGACATGTGATTACAGCTTAAGTTTGCCTTGCATGTTTGTTTTAGTATTGCAGTTTTCATCATCGGCATGTTAGGACTAATACAGATTTTGAACATAAACTAATCACATTATTATTTTTTTGTTTTTGAATAATTTCAGTACTACTTTTTGAACACTAATCACATTCTGATATATTTAAAAATTTTTTTTTTTTTTAAATACTTTTATTTGCAATTAAAGCAAGTACATCAACATCAAATTTTTTAACATGATTTTGAACACCAAATGAAAACGAAAGGTTGATATATGGTTGAACACATCGTAAATACCATCGTCTTATCGCTGTTGAATTCCACCCATTGGTATATATAACCCGGTGA